TTTCATTTTTTCTTCTCTCTTCTCTATCTCTCTCCTAAATCAATATATAGAAATGCACTCTCTCTTATTCATTTCTCTTCCACTTCACTCAATCATCTATATTTCTCCTAAACCTATCACACATTTGTTAGAATTAATTTAAATTTAATTAGATATTAGTTTATATTTAGGAATATCTTTTAGATTGTTAAGATATATATCTTAGATCTTCTTATATCTTTGTAGAAGATATATTTTAGATTTAATTTGTGTGTATAAATATCCTAGTGGAGTAGGTTATTGTAAATTCATTGTAAATCCTTATTTTTGAAGCTATCAGTAAATATTCCTTTTGCCTTTTATCTTCCTTGTGCTCCAACAATTGGTATCTAGAGCTCCTGGTTAGAAACTCTGGAATTTGGGAAACATTGATTTTTCATTGAGTTTCTGCGTAAATTGCACAAGGTAGAAGATGAACGGAAACGGCGATATTCATTCCAAGCTTCCAGTATTTGATGGCAAAAACTGGAATCGTTGGAAGATCCAGATGCGCGTGTTATTTGATTCTCAAGATGTGTTAGATCTTGTTACTGATGGCTATAATCTGTTAGAAGCAGATGCAACAGAGGACCAGAAGATAGCACAAAAGGTGCTGAGGAAGAAAGATCAGAAAGCGTTGTTCTACATCCATCAATGTATGGATGTGAATGTGTTTGAGAAGATTGTTGATTCTGAAACAACAAAGGCTGCGTGGGACACACTGGTAAGATGTTACGGTGGTGACGCATCAGTGAAGAAGGTAAAGCTTCAGTCTCTCAGAAAGCAATATGAGAATCTTAACATGAAGGACAACGAGAAGGTTTCTGAATACATCTCTAGAGTGATTCTGATCACTAATGAGATGAAAGCTTGTGGAGAAACTCCGTCTGAACAAGTAATTATTGAGAAGATCTTGAGATCTTTAACTTCTCAGTTTAATTACATTGTTGTAGCAATTGAACATTCCAAATATCTGAGCACCATGAGAGTTGAAGAGCTGTAAAGTAGTCTTGAGGCGCATGAGTTGCGTATGACTGCAAGAACTTCTGAGAGGAAAGTAGAGCAACAGGCTCTGAAAGTAACTTATGGTAAGAAGCATCAGAAGCAGACTTGGTCAGAAGCCAGGAAGAGAACTAATGGTGGTAAAAAGTCAGAAGCTTCAAACTCTGATAGGCAGAAGAATGTTCAGAAGGGAAAGGAGAAGTCTGACAAGAAGAATGTTCAGTATTACTGTTGTAAGAAATTTGGTCACTATGCTAGAGATTGCTGGTCCAACAAAGAAAGGAAGCATGAAGAAGCAAACGTAGCCAGAGGAGATTCAGATGATGAACCTGTGCTATTTATGGCTTATGAATCTGATGAGGAACCAGTGAAATGGTCATTTTCTGATTCTGAAGGGGAAGAAGAATATGAATCTGAATATTCTGACTCTGAAGGAGTGATTTTGTATGAGTCAGAATCAGAATATGACTGAGTTAGAATTAGATGACGACTTTGAAGATTTTGAAGATGAGTCAGAATCTGAGGTTTCTGAAGACGAGTTAGAGTCAGAAGATGACTCTGAAGCTGAAGACAAGTCATGATCTGAAGGTGATTCTGAGTCTAAAGAAGATGCTGCTTCTGAAGAAGAGCCAGAAGATGATGTCTCTGGAAACTCTGAAGGTGAGTCAGATGGTGAATCTGATTCTGATCCATATTTTGATGATGATTCAGAATTTGGCGGTGATCATGCTTCTATAAGGGAAAACTATAAAGATGTAGGTTCTGGAGGACAAGCTTCTAAAGATGATCATGTTTCTGGTAGAAATCATGATTCTGAAAGTGGAACTTCTGAAGGAGGAGCTTCTGAAGGAAATTCAGCCTTTGACGATGATCATGATTCTGAAAGTGGAACTTCTGAAGGCAGAGGTGATCCAACTTTTGAAGATGGTATTTCTGAAGGTAGTGGCTCTGACTCTGATGATGATTCAGACCCTGATAATTTTCAAGACTCTGAATATAGTCAAAGTTCTGGAGAAAGTCCAATTGCTGAAGCAAGTGCTTCTGAAGGGGAAAGTTATGGTGTCCAAAGTTATAAAGGTCCAGTTCAGAGGCAACAAAGAGTCAGAAGCATCCTAAGAAGATTTGCAGAGTTTGACATGTTGCTTGACACTGAAGTAAACTCTAAAGGAGAAGTTATTCAGTGTGCAATGTTAGTAGACTTTGAACCCGTGAGTATGAAAGAGGCTCTTAAGCACCAAGTTTGGTTACAGGCCATGAAAGAAGAACTTGATGCTATAGAGAGAAACAAGAGTTGGAAGCTGACATAACTTCTAAAAGTCAAGAAAGCCATCAGCGTCAGATGGGTTTTCAAGCAGAAGCTAAAGCCAGATGGATCAATTGGAAAACACAACGCGAGATTAGTAGCAAGAGGCTTCCTACAGAAGCCTGGGCTGGATTACTTTGAAGTGTTTGCACCTGTAGCGAGACATGAAACAATCAGACTAGTGATTGCAATAGCTACTAACATGAATTGGCCTCTGATGCATTTAGATGTAAAATCTGCATTTCTGAATGGTCCATTACAAGAAGAGGTGTACATTTCACAACTTCCTGTATTTGAGAAAAAGAATCAGGAAGAGATGGTGTTCAAATTACATAAAGCGTTGTATGGATTGAAGCAAGCGCCCAGAGCTTGGAACTTGAAGATTGATTCGTTTTTCAAGGAACAAGGGTTTCAGAAGTGTGAGATGGAGTATGGTGTTTATGTTCAACACACTTAAGAATGTAATATGATTATGGTCTGTTTGTATGTTGATGACATATTACTCACAGGAAGTTCTGAACAAGAGTTAGTTGAGTTTAAGAAAGTTCTGATGAATGCGTTTGAGATGACAGATCTTGGAAAAATGAGTTTCTTTCTAGGGATGAAATTTACATACTCTGAGAAAGGAATCATTTTACATCATATGAAGTATGAACTAGAGCTTCTGAAGAGATTTGAGCTAGAAAATTGCAAGGTTGCTATCACAACTGCTGATACGAATCAGAAGTTGGATTCTGATTTTAATGGAGAGGGTGTGGATGCTACAACCTTCAAATAGATGGTTGGTTCTCTAAGATATTTGTGTAATACCATACCTAATATTTTCTATGCAGTTGGAATGATTAGCAAATTTATGAGCAAACCAAAGTGGTCCCATTACCAAACTGCAGTCAGGATTCTGAGGTATGTGAAGAGAACTCTGAAATATGGAGTGTTATTTCTGTCTGGAAGAAAGACCGAATCAGAACTTCTGAGCTATTCTGATTCTGATTGGTGCAGAGATAGAGTTAAGACCAAGTATCATTTTCGGAGGAATCAAGTTCAGAATGGAATAATAGAGGTTGTGCACTGTAGCACTCAGAAGCAGCTGTCAGATGTTCTGACAAAGGCTATCAAAACTGATCAATTTCTTGGTTTAAGGGATGAAATTGGTGTTGTCAGTTTTGGGTAAATATAAATTAAGGGATGTTGTTAGAATTAATTTAGATTTAATGATATATTAGTTCATATTTAGGAATATCTTTTAGATTGTTAAGATATATATTTTAGATCTTCTTATATCTTTGTAGAAGATATATTTTAGATTTAATTTGTGTGTATAAATAGTCTAGTGGAGTAGGTTATTGTAAATTCATTGTAAATCCTTATTTTTGAAGCTATCAGTAAATATTTCTTTTTCCTTTTATCTTCCTTGTGCTCCAATAACATTAAGATATTGGGTGAAGACATGGTGTCAAGTTTTTTATAAGTTCTACGGGGTTAGACAATCTATGCTCCTTAGACTCCTCAATAAATAAGAGAGACGAAATAAGATCCTATTGTAGATCGATATAAGTGATATGAGTGACTCATATTTATTATTTATTGTTTAATTTAAGTGTGAATATTAAACTTCACATTGTTATGATGTATAAGAGTGGTAACATATATACATTATTTCTTAAAATTTTGAATAAATGTGGGGTGTCAAAGTCTTCTAAAATCCTAAACTTTTAACCCATTATTGCTCCCATAAACTATAACAAAAAAAAACATTCTTAAATGGTTTTATAATTAGATATTGGGTCCTCTATTCCTTTTTTATTTTTATTTTTAAAATATTTTATACATACCAACACGATCAATATTTCTTACTTTTAATTAATTAATTTATATTTTCTCTATAATACTCTTAATAATTCAGTATTTTATTATATCTATTTTTATCTTTCTATTAAATATTAAGAATATTATTAATAAGTTAATTTTAATGTTACATTAAATTTTAAAAACATCAATTGAAATAAAATCAATTTTTTCTTTAAAAATATGACTGTTAAAAAAGAAAGGAATAGAATTTTCTATTTTTAGTTTAAAATTGGTACAATTGGTACATGCCCAATTAATATGATGGCGAAATCTACACTAGCATTTACTATAATCTCAATACTGAGAAAGTGTCAAAGTATGAAAATGATTAGAAATTAGATGCACAGGAACTATTCTAGTGCTGGCTTTTTCTTATAAAAAATACGAATAAAAAAAATTCAATCAAGTGTAAACGATTATTACAAATGCGTAATCGATTATAACAACTTTAAAAACACTTATTCTACAACTTATTTGATCCTTTTTATACACTAATTACACTCTATATTAACAGTTTACCACAATTGAAATACTTCAAAACTCTTAACAAATTGAATAATAATTTCACAACATAAAAAGAGAAACAAATAGTATACGGTGTTAGTAAACATGCACCACGAAACTAATGCCATCATTTTCATTCTATTTCACACTACATACGCGTAAATTTAATGTTAGCTTTTTCCTACCAAAATATCCTCAACTGTACCTAAAAGCCTTTAAGGCTTTGATTCACATCTCTTTCTCTTCGACCACTACATATATAGCTTTCCTCATTTCACATTTTCATCATCCAACTTCATCTTTCTCATTCTAACTCTCACACTCCATGTCCCATAACAACTACTTGCCCCATTTTCTTTCTTCAATGACACACAACACACTCTCTATAATTAATATAGGGATAGTACTAGTGGTGTTAGTTTTGAGTTTTGGAATTGGAAGTGCACAACAAGTACCTTGCTATTTTATATTTGGAGACTCTTTGGTTGATAATGGTAACAACAACCAGCTCACTTCAATTGCAAAAGCTAATTATGCACCTTATGGAATTGACTTTCCTGGCGGACCAACTGGAAGATTTTCTAATGGCAAAACTTCTGTTGACGTAATTGGTGAGATTCTGCTTTTTAATCTAATAAACTTTGGTGAAATAAGAATTCTTTAATATTATAGTTCTATATGCATGCAATTGCAACTAAATAATTGTTTTCTTTAACTCTTGTCTAACAGCTGAGCAATTGGGATTCAACGGTTACATATCGTCGTATGCATCGGCTAGAGGCCGAGACATACTAAGAGGAGTCAATTATGCTTCGGCAGCTGCTGGAATTAGAGAGGAAACTGGACAACAATTGGTACCTCATTTTTCTTTTTTCTTTTTGCTTCTAATGTCACATTATTTATATGACCTTCATTTTTCTAACATTATTTATGTTTGTACTTTGTAGGGACAAAGAATTAGTTTTAGAGGTCAAGTGGTAAATTACCAAAGGACAGTGTCTCAGTTAGTAAATAATTTTGGAGATGAGAATACTACCGCGAATTATCTAAGCAAATGCATTTATACAATTGGATTGGGAAGTAATGATTACCTTAACAACTATTTCATGCCTCAAATCTATTCTAGCAGTAGACAATTCACACCACAACAGTATGCTAATGTTCTTCTTCAAGCATATGCTCAACAACTCAGGGTTAGTTACTCCCTTCTTTTCTTTTTCATTCTGTAGTAATAATTTGTTATAAGGTCACAAATTAAAAGCTAAATATATATTTTTTGTGATTCAGATTCTATATAACTATGGAGCAAGGAAAATGGCATTATTTGGAGTTGGTCAAATAGGTTGCAGTCCAAGTGAATTGGCTCAAAACAGCCCAGATGGTAGAACATGTGTAGCTAGAATCAATTCTGCAAATCAGTTATTCAACAATGGATTAAAATCTCTGGTTGATCAATTCAATAACCAATTTCCTGATGCAAGATTCATCTATGTAAATGTTTATGGTATCTTTGGAGACATCATAAACAACCCATCAGCCTATGGTTTCAGAGTAACAAATGCTGGATGCTGTGGCGTAGGAAGGAACAATGGCCAAATTACATGCCTGCCCCTACAACCTGCATGTAGGGATAGAAATGGGTTCTTATTTTGGGATGCATTTCATCCAACAGAAGCTGGAAACACAGTTATTGGTAAAAGAGCTTACAATGCTCAATCTCCATCTGATGCTTACCCTTTTGATATCAATCGCTTAGCACAAATCTAATGAGTGTTTTCTGATGCCACAAATCATGTGGTATAATGTCTTGTTCATCTATCTCATGGCGTCAAAAAGCCCTTTTATTTTTCCTATTTTTCTTGTTTAACAAGTTAAGTGTAATTTGTCTTAAACAACTTTTTGTAATACTTGCATTTTGTGGGAAATAGAAACTTTCAATTCAAGATTACTATACAAATCAACAGTAATTTCTCCCAATTAAATAGAATAGAAACAGTTCGAATACAAATGTCAAGATTAAAATAAAACTTAACAAAATGATGTGTAACATTTTGCTTAATGATGTGTATTTGTGTTTACTTATCAAAGTCATTGTAATAACAATTACTGTTTTTTACAATTGCTGCTGCACCTCAAAATGTTTTGAAATCCATATATGTATATTTGTTGTATTTCAAAATTTATCCTCTTTATTTCGACTTTATTTTGGTTTATGTTGCATATATATATATATATATATATATATATATATATATATATATATATATATATATATATATATATATATATATATATATATATATATATATATATATATATGCATCTCGTTAGCCGTGTTGTTATGGGATTAAGGTATTTCTGTTCGACTGTTATCAGAGGTGCTCAGAGCTTTATGCAAGACATTCAGGTGGTGAATAAAAATTCTCTATCATGACTAATCTCAATGTATTCTATCATGTCTCGAGTGGTAGATGTGAGCTGGAGTTCTCGTCTGATTTGAGACATTTCAGGTTAAAAGTCCATTTTGGCACGACAAGCTTCAGAATTTTCTAACTCAAAGCCAGAATATTATTTGGAGCTGATATTTTGTCACCAGATCCGTGTGGATATTGTCTTCATGTTTTATGTTCGGGACGGGAGCCAATTGTGCATCTAAGATGGTCAAATAGTTTTGTTATTAAGTTTTCGGGTTATCAATCGACGGTATTTCTGATATTCAGAAATTTATAATTCTTTTTTGGTTTACCGTTTCGAGGTGGTTCTTTCTCCATTAAATTCGCCTCGATATTCTCCATAACTTCCATGTTCGGACCGAAGGCTAATTCTCGAGGGATGGTTTCCGAATATGTAAATCTGTCAGAGGTTAAACAATGCATAATACCGGTAAAAGTTGGTTGAACCGCTGTTTCAGGCACAGTAAAAAATTCATAATCTAAGTTGGAGTACCGTATGAGCATGATTCTAGTGCCCAAAATTCTGTTTGGATGTTATCTTAACGTCGTATTTTATGACCAAGAGCTGATTCTACGGGAAAAGTGGTGGGAATTTCGAGTTCCAGAGAAAATAATTAAGCAGAATCTGGAATATGTCAGTTTGATCTTTTATATTAAAAAATTCGTAACTCGCTCAATTTTCACCGCATCACAACGGTTCTCGAATCGTTGGCTCAAGAATTTTGTCTACTTCAACTTTGATTTAGATCTTAAAATCAAACGGTAGCTCGAGGATCCCCGTTATTGGTTTATTATGCAAAAATAGGGTTTTCGAACTGGTAAAAAGACTGGACGTCACTCCACTGAAAAATTCATAATAACATCATCGTTTATCAGATTGTTCTCATTTTTTGACACGATATCGGGATGCATAGATCTATATTTATTCTGGCAAAGTCGAGATGATATTTTAATTTTTTGGGCACGAGCTCGTGGTTTGTTCGAGTGACGAAGGTCAAATAAGCTGATATTTTAATTTAATTAATTTTTGTCAGTGACGTCTCGCCGCTTAAACGTATCGAACTCACTCAATTTTTATCAGAAAGCATCCATTATTTTTGGGTGACGTCCGTGACTTAGAGGAACATATTTTCACAAGAGGCCCACGTTCGGAAAGATTTGCGAATCATAGTGTAATTTCACTTAAGCGGTGAATAAGCTGAAAATTTGATTTGTTAAACAACACTATATATTGTTTTGCCACCAAAATTCAAAGAGGAGACCTCATTATTAAAAATTCCATTTCCCTATCTATTCTTCTTCTCTCTCTCAAGCACAAAGGCTCCAACAATCTTGCACCTCCCTCCTCACCAATCTTCGTCGGACCTCCTCACCGACCACCACCACCGCCGCGCGCTCAACCTCCCTCACCGGCCTTCGATCGCGCTTCATCCCTCCTTCCGCGCACCTCTCCCTCCTCTTCCTCCGATCGCGATTCCGCATATTTGCTCCGGCTCTCTCCGTCCGATCTCCTTCCGATCATAACTCCCTCCCTCCGTTCCGCGCGCCTCTCTCCGGTTGCTCATTTTCCGGCGACGCTCTTTCCACGGAAAACACCATCATCTATCATCTTCTTCCTCTTTCAAAGTGTTCCTTCAAGAGGTAAATACATCAACCTCCATTAATTCTTGTTTCTTGAGTTTGATTGTTGTAGAATTGTACAATTAGGTGTTGATTGACATAGTTAGGATTAGATAACATAGTTTACATAGTTCTAGAATTGAATTAGATATTTAGGTTGAATTTATTTAGGATTAGATTAGGTTCTTGAATCAATTTTGTGAGATATAAGCTTAGCATAGTTTATGCACACTAGGTGGTTGCATTAATTCCTCATAGAAGTATAGAATTGAATTAGAATTAGGATGACACTTAGATTATAGTGTAGTTATTAATTCTTGGATTTAGGTACTAATTCCTTTTATTTAGGTGTTATAACATAAACTAACAAGTAGTTTAGTTTATGACTAATCCTTGTGTTCAAGCTTCATGACATGTATCCATGTATTGTGATTGATAATCATTGATATTTTTGTGCATATTGAAATGCATTTTTGCATGTAATCTCAAGTTACCAATTCTTGACATAAGCTAATCTTTTTGCCAATTTTTGGTTGATTATTTGTTGTTTGTCATTGTAATGAATTGAGTTAATTTCCAATGGACTCAAATGCCATTGCAAAATATTTTTGAAGTAAGTTTGATTGAGTTTGATAGAAAATACCTCAATACTTGGTAAATGGCAAAGATTGACATAATTGATGTTTTTTCTCCAACTTTTGATCCGTATTGAGTTTTTCCGACTTTCTTTAATGAAAAACGAGTTTCTTGAGCCATCCAGAACCATTCACGCGAGTTTTTTTCGATTCGGATAAATTTCGTTCTGTTTTTTTGCTACTGTAGCAGTTTTGAAAATCACTTTTCTGAATGGAATTTGGCTGAACCGAGTTAATTTTTGGAACCGTTGGCACGTTTCTATATCGGCATATTTTTTGCGGTTGATTCCGGATTCTTTTCGATTAATTTTCTAACTTTTCGATTCAATTTTTTTTGCATATTATCTAGTGTTTCATTCTTTTGAATTGTGATGCTTCTTGTATGTTAATTCTTACTTTGATGTCAAGTAATATCATTTGGTTTAATTAACCGCTTGAGAAATTTTGTGAACTTAGCGCATCGAAATAATTTTTGGTTCATAACTTTTTAACTTGATAAATTGCAAATCGATTCCTATTCATCGCACTTTTGGCATAAATACACAAACTCATGAATTAGACTTAATTCGCAATTTGTTGATTAAATTCCGATACATTAAATTCATGTGGTTTTAAGACTTTAGTTCTTGATTTAAGATTAATCTTGAGGTTACATGTTCATATTCAAGTTTCGAATATCTTTCTCATGCTAATATGCAAGATTAGCGGACTAAAACTTTGATTTTCAAATCGATTCATAATAAATTTTGAAATGTGTGTAATGCTGTCTGAAATTTGCATTTTACATGTGCGTTGAGCTTTAACTTGCGAATGATACATTGTTGTATTTATTTAATCATTTCTTTGATATCGGTAGCAAGTTTAGGTGTTTCTAAATCGGTTTTTGCACCTATTTTCTTGAGTATGAGGTTGTTGTCCCGAATGTTATGTTATGCACTTTTGACTTATTTGTTTTGCCTTGTACATATTCATACTTCATTTTTGTGCATATTTCCAATTGCTACTGTTGTACCCCAAAATTTGCCTTCTCATTTCATCAACATTTCTCATCACAAGAATCTTGGAACTCAAGATCAAGCTAGGGTTTGCTCTGCTCAAGACACCTCCTTGCATTGTTGACCTAAATTAGGGTTTGAGTTTGCACAGGGATATTTTGACCTACAATGCCCAAAGTTACTTTCATACTTCATGTTGGACTCACAAGTTTGTCCATACCAAGTTTCAAGCCTTGATTCAAATTTTTGCCCAGTCAATTGGACAGTTGACCTAGAAATCAGCTGTATTGAGGGAAAAGTCAACTATGGCCAATTGACAGTCAAACCTCATGAAATATGACCCACATCAACATCATGAACTCATATGAACCATTTGATCAAGTTTGGATCACAATTCCACAAGAAATTTGATCAGATCACCAAAAGGGCAAAATGGTCATTTTTAGGGTTTTGACTCTACAAAGGCAATTTTTGACTGTTTGACCTAGCCAATGGAAAATCAAGCTCAACCATGGACTCAAGGACTCAATGAAATTGTTTTGACCCATTCAACAAGTTCAAAAGATCTCAAATGCATAGGATTGACAAATGAATTTTTCAGTCAACTGATCAAAATTTAACTGTATACTGAAAAGTCAAACTTTGACTTTTTGGTCAAAATCAAGTACCAAGGGTCATTTTTCATCAAGACATGTCAAATTATGAAACTTGTTCATCAAGAAACCCAAAAATGCAAATTAGGGTTTAAAATGGAAAAATTCCATAACTTAGAAATTTTCTAAGTTATAAAATTTTCTTATTTTTTCCTAACTTTGTCCCATTTTTCCACCAAGATGCAAATGGATTCAAACAAAACTTATAACATGAAAGTTGTAGTCCATCACAAAGTCTATAACTTTGATTCACAAAGTTTTCTCAAAAGAAGTTTGGATATCAAGTTATGATTTTTGGAACAAGGGTACCTAAAACTTTTAACTTAGAGAAATTTTGCCCTAGTTTAGGCAGGATTTTGACCCATCTTCTTGGCCATTTTTCATATGGTTCCACTTGGAGTTTCAAGTTTC